ACTAGCTCAGAGAGAGAACACCAGAAGCGCGGAAGAAAAGCTTGCTTAAGCAGGCCCATCTCCCAGAATTCAGCGGTGCCAACACCACGAGACGTGACTTGTGGCCAACGGCAACTGGCGGGTATGCAGGGATTCACTTTTTCTGAAGATAACTACACTGCAAACATCGATTCGTGAAGTAGAGAAATTTATAACGAAGGAACTGATTATTCTAAAATTCCCTAATTTCATTACATTTAGACGCAAAATGTACACAAACTTAACATCCACTAATCGAACACGGTATACAAATCTTTATTAGATAGGCGTAAAAATAAGAACTGAAATACAAATAAAATAAGCTACAATACTTGAAGCAATACAAATATATATAACTCAGAGAAGCCAAGAAACCCGCTGAAGTTCATTTGAAATGACAGTCTAGTTAGAACAGGCCATAAACCGTATCTTCGTCTCTGTATATAAAACAGTAAGCAAGTATCGTCAATAGACAAATGACATTCGCAGCCACAGTAAGGGCGCATGCTCCCCACTGAATCTAAAAAGAAATTCGTAATCAGATGAGGGAAAAGATAAACCAATTTGTAGCGCAAAAAAACGAAAAAACTGGCTAGCAATCCACAAGTTTGTTTAAGTGACATTCATAACTATGCTTAACTGCAAGTTGAAGACCTGAATCGCGTCAGTTTGCCTGTAGCGCCATGAACGGTCAGTTTTTGATCACTTCCACCTTGAGCGGTAGTACATGATAGACTAAGAATTGCAGCCAAATTTTTGAGTGGCATCGAAAATACGAAATATGGCAGAAAAAATGGCAATTGCTAGATCACGTGCGTTTTCGCTTATTCTTCAAGTTGCTCACAACAGTGTATGGCCTTGACAAGCAATGAACTGATTGAAATTGAGTTACGTTAAATTAATATTTTCCAAACAATAACCTCTGCATTTGTTACCTCCAGGCTGTCAATCCTCTGCGAACGCAATTCTCCTATTGTTCTAAACAGAATTTTAGAGGTGCCTCAAGGAAGAGGAATGATTTAATTGGTTTCACTTACAGACTGTCTATATCTTCACATTTACTGTCACGATTCTTGATGGGAACTATTTAAGGGTAGTCGCGTCCGCGTGATCATTTCCGAATTTCTTTAGTGACAGAAAATGCAAAGTGCAAAAGGTAGGCGATAAGGAACGCTGCAGATACCGACTTCATACATGTGCAAGGATTGTCAAACAGAAATATGTACTTGTCGAGATCTCTTAACTGTCATGGCACAGTCAATCAAGCTTCACGTGTTTGTCAGATATTCATACTTAAGTGCAAAAAATTTAAGCGGCTCACCTGTCAATAACAATTATTACTTTTGTCTACTAAATAATTACCGCCTAAAATATAAATGCTCAAATTTTGATCGAACTGAATTTTGACAGGTTGGCAGTCTCAATGAACAAATATTAAATATGGGGAAAGACAAACATCCAACTTTTAAAAAGATTAGTTATTAAAAGTTACGCGAAAAACTAACAAAACTTCTGAACAGGCAAACGCTTCATCCCGTTTATCAACGAAATACCATAAACCATTTCCTTTCAACTTTCTCACATCTTGAAAAAAATACAGATGTGCCACCTTATTCAACACTCGAGGCTGATGTGATGCAGACAATCATCACAGGATTTAAACTAGTTATGAAACTTTTCATATACTGTAATTTGTTCTAGAAATTTGTTTTAGGATAAATGTAGCCCGATATATAGGATCGTTGATTCAAAACAAGTTTTTTTCCATCATGGAATGAAATCAGAGTTTTGTCTAATCATTTGCTAAAGAACGCATGAAAGCTTTTTACTAAATAAATTACTGTAGCGATATGGATCGATATAACAAGCATCTGGTAATTGAAGTGATAATTGCAAAAATTTTATCCGTCCGCATTGAAGAGAAAACTAGTGCTTTCGACCGTGTTTTTATAAGGGATGATAGCTTTTTTATAATCCACAAGTTAAGATAAACAAGTTTAACTAATAACGGCATGCCTTAGGATGCGCTTAGATGGACCAGAAATACCATGGCAAAGACAGATCTACCTTGGCAGACGAAAATTTGTTTCTGCACTGAAATAACAAATGTCTTACAGCAAAAGTGATGTTAACTTGCGGAAACAGTAGACATCATAGAACAAAGATGTTCAAATTAGGCAAAGAGCTCAATGTGTTCATTTCAACAAACACAAAATACACAAAAGGCTCCTTTAGCATCTGGGAGCAGAATCCGAATCTACCGTTAGTCTTGCAACCGCCACTAGGACTAGGTGACAAGTGAAATAGTCGCTGACTCGCAACAGCCACAGAACTTCGACATCGAAGAATACTGCTCAAAGACAGAATAAACTAGATGGAACTTTTGCAATAACACTCATTCCCCACTGGAGATATACAGACATTCCATGGGTTCCAAACACTTCGCAACTTAATGCAAAAGAACAACAAGTTTTCCGCAGTAGATCATCGAGGGAACATCTCATTACTGTTCACCGCAATTTATCTGCTAAACTCGGCTTTGGTTACTTGTGTGCCCGAATGCACAAAGATTATCGTACTTATTTGTTTACTTTAGCAAATAAATTTGAATTTGAAGGAAAAGATGCTCTAATCGTATTAATCGATTCCACGGAATGATGCTTGTCAACGATATCACTGAATCAAAAGTTTCCTGATTTACGGTTTCAGAGAGTCCACACGTATATACACCAAGGTACATATAAACAAAGTGAAGATCTTTTGTTGTTCAATGACTGGCATCGTTTTTAGCAAGCATTAACGACTTTAGGATCAAAAGCAATTGTACACGAGAAAAAGCAAAACTTTTTACCTTATGCAGCAGGAACTGCTAATCTGAACGGTCTATTAGATACTTTATCACTCTCTACTTGACAAGAGTCAAAAATGGACTGAAATAGTGAATCCGAAAATTCCAGTTTCCCTCAATTTCTGGTTCAAAATCGAGCAGAGGTCTGAAATGCATTGGTATCATTATTGCGACTACAGCTTATGTGCCGATTTTAATTACCGAGAGGCATAAATTTGTTTATCAAATTCTAATTTCATTTAGCAATGACAGGTCGTTGGCGTGGTTGACCTGTGAGGAATACAAATCGCAGAAGAGCGATAAATAGAGATGAAGCAATGTTGTCGTGTAGTCAAGCAAAATTGGGCGGGGGAAGAACGGGTACAACCATATTGTCTGTGTCTGCTTTAAGGCTGCAGTCCGCCTTCACCCACCTGATCAGTTGTTGAACAATAATCATCACAAGGCGAAACCCGTAAATTAAAAAACAATCAAGATAATATTCCAGCATCTTCATACAATTGCATTACAACACTGGCACAGCAAAGTGAGTTGGACACTCTGATCTGAAACTGCGGACTGAAATTTAACATAAATGAATATAACAGTAATCATAACTAATACCGAAGATGAAAGATAGTCTTCAAACCATTTCCTCTTTCCTAGTAATCTGGTAATAATTAATCAATCTAGTCGCTGACACGAAACTGGATTTCATATTTCGTTTGACTCAGTCATGGATAAAAAAATAGTACATTAAGAACGGGATCAACAGTTCAGTTCAGTTCAGAACCAGTCAGTCAGCAACGATGACAGCTTATTCTTTGGGGTCGCAACTACGAACGAAAATCGGATCAAAAACAGTAATTACTAATTAGCATAGGTTATACTTGATCATCAGGTTGCGCCTCAAAGCACAAGCTACACT